CTCCGCCAGCCGGCACAGGGACCTGAGGGGAACAGCGCCACAGTCAGTGCTGCCCACGCCGGGCACCCGGGGGGGCAGAGCCCAGCCTGCCCCTGCAGCCGCCACACAGCCGCATTGGTGGCTTCTCTAAAGGCACCAAAGGCAGCCACAAGGTGCCCCCCAGCAGCACAGGGCTTTTCAGGCCCTCTTGCCAGCCCAGCACCTCACATAAATTAAGCTCTTGGCCCTAGAGACTAGCACAGCAACCCAGGGCTTAAAATACTGTGTTATTCTTTGTAGTCAAGCATTACTATTCCCCTCCCTCGCCACATACCTTTGATATTCACAAAGTCTTCACTGCCCCCTCTGCTGTGAGAGAGCAAGCAGAAGCCTCTGCCCAAATTCTAAAATGGATGCCTACTAAGCAGTGTGCAACTAAAAATGGAGAACCACCAAGGCCTTACCTAAAGATTCTCAGTGAAATGGTCATTTTTTCAAACTCTTTTGCTTTTCTGTGCCCCTTCTGAATAACCTCTTCCGGAATATTAGCCAGTCTTGCCGCATTGAAGCCGTAGCTCTTTGGACATGCTCCTTCAATGAACTTGTACAGGAACGTAATTGTTTCCTGGCTTGGATCTTCACTCTCGTTTTCAACCATGCATGCCTAGAAAGAGCAAGTTACAAGTCAGTGGATGAAGTGCTTACATACTGACTAACAACGAAACGTCACCTGCTTTTCTCGGGACACCTCTGGGGGAAGAGCAAGTGCACTACACGAGGTCTGTCAGCTACAAAGGGAAAAAAACCCAAGGAAGACAGCTCCCAGCTCCCCCCCCCGTACCATGTGGCCGAGGCGCACGGCCCCGCGGTGTGCGTGGTCCTCCACCAGCGAGTGGTAGTGTGTGGAGAACAGCGTCCGGCACCGGATTCTCTCGGCCAGCTCCTCCACCACCGCACTCGCTATGGCTGTGCCATCAAAAGTCGCTGTGCCTCTGCCTGCGGGAGAGAAGGAGCAGCTTCTGCACCCTCAAGAACAGAAGTAGCCAAGTAAATTCAACCCATGGTTTACTTGCTTCTGAAGGGAGAGCCCCGCCCCCCCTTAACTGTTAAGATACTTAACAGAAGCAGAGATGCTGTTCTGATGATGAGTGCAATGTCAGGTACTGTTTGCTTCTCTCCCGCCTCACCACGTGGAAGACTGACAAACAGCAGTGAGGACTGAGAGCCACCAGTGACCTGAATATCTGGCCCCTGATAATTGCCCCCACTCTTTGGCACTGCCAAAAGACTTCTGCTCTCTTCAGACTTGCTACTGACTAGCTCATGGTTTGCTGCAACTAATTATGCAAAGGAAAGCAGGAAAACATGGCTAGAAATAGTATAAAAAACACTGGGGGGATGGGAAGGAGGTGTTTTATCACTTCCAAGGACACTCTGTGATACATGTTTTGGAGAGAATTACATAGGTCCTGACCAGTTAAGCACTGGGAGCAGGATGACAAAACTACCCCTGTGCACTTGGTGGACATTTAGACAGCCCCACAAACTGACAGCTGGTCTTTAATCTTGGCATCACTGAGAACACCAGGTTGGAAGGACCTCAAGGATCATTTTGGTCCAACCTTTTCTGGCAAAATGAGATGAGATGGTTCAGCACCATCTCATATTCTAGTGGCTGATTGTCCTAGTGAAAATTTTTCCTCTTGTGTCCAATCAGAATCTTCCCAGCAATAACTTGTACCCATTATCCTTCATCTTTTACATGTGACTCCTTGTAAAGAGGGGCTCTTAAATTTCCACTCATTACAAAATAGACGAATTACCCAGTTCATCCACAAGAACAAGGGAGTGCTTTGTAGCATGCTGGAGAATGCTGGAAGTCTCGCTCAATTCAACGAAGAAAGTACTTTCACCTTTGAAAGAAATAACAAAAAAAGCACCATGAAGTAGTTAAAAATCTGAAAACCACAACTAAACCCCCATTTATTTAATCTGCACTACAGCCTTGATCAAACTAAAATGAAACTTGACAGCAAATGAAACTTGACCAAAAACTTGACAGCAAACTGCAGATGAACAAAAACAAAGCTTTTTTCTAGCATGAAAGTGGTGGGTCTCCATTTGCCAGGAAAAGCAGGTCTGGGCTCCCAAGTACAGGCAAGGGCACTAGTACAATTAATTCAGTTTTAGGCCACCGTATCTGTCTGCTTTTAATAGCACTGGCCAGATGTACCAGTTTGACAGAAAGAGAGGCACAAAGGATACAAGATGGGGGGGGAATCTTTTGCCCCTTCTTGCTCTTCAGTGCACAAGGCAGGCCTAAGGTGCGTGGCTTCTCAGCATGGAAACAGCAAGTAAAATAGCTTCAAAAAGAGACCAGGCTTCCTGTTTCAGTTGATGTCACACAGTAAGTTACTCAGATCATGAAGGCTGTACTCTTATGTGCCCTACTTCAGTGAAGGATGACAACAGAAGTACACTGCTGCTGAGGGCTGGACATCCTTCAGGAGTTCCAGCAACCCAGCACGAGGCCTGAATCTGGTTTTTAGCCGGTACACAAGCAGAAGTACACAATTACTCAGAGCCTTGCAGATGATAAATCCACATGTATAAAGTCCAGATTTCCTAGTTCTTTGTAGGGTTCATTCCAAATAATTACACACAGCAGCAATTATTAATGTAATTTCAGAGCAGGTAAGTATTTACTTCCTGTGCTCACGCTGCATGACGTAAGCACTGCTGTGCTCCAGCTTAAATTTTTCAACATGAGTTATTAAGCAGTGTCCAGCAATCCTGATTCTCTCACTTACTAAAGAAATTTTCAAGACTGAATATATGTTAACAATGTTTAGGAATAAACATTTATTCACTTTAAGCAAGCCCCTAAAATTACATAGGCAATTAAAAAGTATTACCTAATGTTTACTTCACAGAAGCCCTACCGACATCCACTATGAAATGACAGCCATGGCAGAACTTCTGCTGTGCCTTCATTTCTAGGCAGTGTGGAAGCCAATGAGTCAAGAACAGATTTCAAAGCTGTTCTGCTGTGCAGCATTCAGCCTTTTTTTAATGTGAAACATTAAAACTTTGGTGCCTGTGTTTGGAACTTAAATACTCTTGCATCCTCAAGACTTCTTTTTGTACTGAAATTAAACAAAATGGAAAATAGCTGGGCAAAGAAAGCCCTAATAAAATTCCCTAGCTGCAAAGAAAAGCCTTGATTGGGAGAAGTATAAATATTTTTTTTTAATTAAGAACTCAGTATGACTCATTTCCAAATTCCTTCTGTGCAACAAGTTCAGTAGGCTTAACTCCTTTCATACTCACTGACCCACATTTTTCAGCAGAAAGATCACAGAAAATCTGCACCCTCTTTACATGAGTTTTGATACTACTCTGCTTACCACAGAAAATACGTTGTTTTTCTAGCCCCATGATACTTTGCCTACTGCTGCAGGAAGACTTCCCCATTCCAGTTGGGTCATCCCCCACTTCTCTCTTCTAACCCATGAAAGAAACAAAATACTCCAACAATTGTCAACTACTGCTTCCAAGAAGGAAGCCTCATCATCGAAACAAATTGGATTTCAGATGCAAGACAGGCATTCAGATTGAGACAAGGGACCTCTAGTGCTTGCTAGAAGGTACAGAAACAACAGCTACCTGAACATCCCTGTCCTCTTCCCAAACACTTAGAAAAAGATACCTATGGTAAGTACAACACCAACTGGACAATATCCAAAAAAGATATTCCTCAGACTTGCATCCAACTGAAAGGCAGGCTTTTAATACTAAATTCATTGCAAATTCTATGCGTCTGTCAAAAACAGAGGACAAGCACATCAAACAAATCAAATGTAACTACTATACTGTTTCTACTCTGAACAAAGAGAGACGACAAATTAGTTGCCCTGATTAGTTTGCTCCCTGCAGTATCAGCAGCCTGTCCCTTTGCCACTCAAAAGCACGAAAAACCCACCCCGTGGCAGAAGCAGCCTGGGGAGCTGGCGTTCAGGTCTCACCTGCCATGATCCTGTCCGAGGCGCCCAGCCGCGTGAACACTCTGTCGACGGGCGTCAGCCTGCAGACCTCGGCAGGGACGTAGCACCCCAGCTGAGCCAGGATAGCCAGGAGACCCGCCTGCGGGACAAACAGGCAAACAGCTGCTTGCTGCACTCCCATGCAAAGAACGTGGGAATGAAACGATTTCCCCTCAAACAAAGACCAGACTACGTAAAGCTTCCTATTGTTTGACGAGCTCCGGGATGCAGCACCATAATCTCAAGTAGAACTGAACTACTCTGAAAGCCTTAAAAACACAGCAAGTTCCCACAGCACCAGCGTTTGTAAAGCCAACTCCCTGTTGCTTCCCCAGCATTTTCATCTAGTTCGACCTGCAGAAGCATCTTTTTGCCAGATAATGCCAAGTCCTGGGTAAGGCGACTTGAAAAAGATAAAAGATGCTCTATCACTTTTGCCTAGCCATCTCTCATAAGAGATATAAGACTTATTCCTCACTAAAGAAAGCAAAAATAGAAAATCTACTATATAAACATGAGTATTTTCTACCAGATTATACTTTGTCTTTACAGTGCAATTGCTGTCCTGTGCTGCACACCCCGGAGACCACTGTTGGGACCTCCTCTGACATCTATAAACAGTCAAGCAGTGCAAAAAACACAGCAGTACCCTGGAACATTCCACTTTACATGGATATTCAATCACCTGTCTCATGAGCGTAGATTTGCCACCCATATTCGGGCCAGTTACCAACACACAGGAAGCTTCACTACTGTTATTTTCATCTTTGCAGCCTATCACAATGTCATTGGGAATAAAATCATCCCCAAAGAAAGTTTTTGTAATGCATGGGTGGCGTGAGTTTTTAAGTTCCAGGAAGGGAGGAGAACTCTCCACAGGCAGTATGATTTCAGGCCGGCATAGTGGGCCATCCCCATCTTGACTGTAGTTAGCCAGGGACATCAAGACATCTGTAAGAGAAATTCCAGTAAGACACACTTTCACCTTTATTCATTCAGAATTCATTTACTCACTGCATTGCATTTTTCTAAGTACACTTTTCCATTTCCATTCAATCTTCCTGTTAAGGAAAACACCCAAGAAGTACTTCTGAAGAACAAGTAAATCATGAGCATATTTACAATGTCCTTCCTCATTCCTTCCAGATTTCTACTGATCTCAGACTAAAAAAATCCTCCCCTCTAGTTTTCAGTTTAAAAGCCTTTAAAATCCACATCATTTCACTTAATATTTTTATAATTTAAACAGCTTTTTATTTTCTTGCATTGGTTTTCTTTAGAACAAAGTAAGCAAAGAGGGAATAAGCTTCTGTGACAGTTAATTAATTTGGTAAGAATCGTAATACTGCTTGGAAATTGCCAGAATAAACGTGTATAAATATTAAAATTGTGTCAACCTAGCAAAAGCAGCAGCACAACCTGTCTCAGTTAGCCTGGCTTTAAGGTTCCAAAAGCCAATCGCCTACAAAATGAGACCGCATTATGTGATTTTAGAGGTTTTTGTACACATATTAAAGCTGAGCCCGGAAGCCGTCTCCCTTTCTACTGAAAACCGGTTCAGTGCTTGTGCTGAGACTGTGCTGCAACTGCCATGGCCACTTCCCAGCTCTCCCTGCTTGCCCAGAGAATCCGCTCAGGGCCAAGGCTCAAGCCCGCCTGTCCTTTCCTCTGCCCGGGGGCATTCAGAGAGTGCTTTCATTTCTCCTCAGAGCAGCACAGAGTGCCTCATGCCACCAGAACATTCACAGCATGAGACTCCGCCAGTCCTGAAAAGGGAGTACAGGAGACCGTCCTACCCCAGAAATTTAAGGGGCAGTTGAGGGAGGCTTCCTACTAGCCTACCTTCAAGGCAGTGACAATGACCTCCTTTTTCTTTTTCCTATTGAGAAAGCAGCCTGCTCAGATGGGAAGGAGATGACTAGTAGGTTAGACTTTTATTCCTCCATCTGCATCATTGGCTTCATTTAATGGGAAGCTACTAATCCATACATGAGAGTCCTACAAGTGGGAAGAGACCCACCAGGCTACGCCGAGCCGTAGGAAATACTCAGCTGCACACCTACGATCACACAGCAGGAAAAACATCAAGACCCAGGGGCCGTTCTGCCCCTTACCGACAGGAAGGCAACAGTGATCACTGCTAAACGTCGATGCCGTTATCAGAGTTTTGAACTGCAAATTAAGAGCTGGCACACACAGGTCAGTTTTCAGCATTTGCTATTACCACACGTTAAAGTGCAGGAAACGTCTTACCTAAGACAGCGATGCATTCCACAGCTGCCTGCCAGTCTCTGCTGTTCTTATCGAAGTTGTGAAACAAGCGCCTCATGCAGTCCTTGAGGGACGCGTCTCGGCGCTCCTCAGCGTTAACCATGGCAGCCAGCATCTTCTCGATCTCCTTGGTCCAGTAACGTTTGTACCCCTTCCTGCTTGACCTCAGCTCGTATTCCTCAGGCAAATTACGTGATACTGCACTCTCGGGTACTTCCATTTGGTAGCGGTTTTTGCCCGCCCCCCAGTACAGCAAGGATTTTGTCCCAAGCACTTTGCGTTGCTTGTCCAGGTACTTTTGAAGATCTTCCTCAACAGCTTTAATATCCTGTAATGCTTTATCATAATCAGGATCAAAACCTGCCTTTGGAGTAATCACTCCTGTCTTTCGAGCCTGGTTGTGATCAAAAGCAGTATCCCATCTTTTAAGCTCAGCACTCAAGTCTGGGAAGCGGCCGTCTGGATTATTGGCTTTGCGGGTGACTAACTGCTTCAGGACCTTAGATTTGAAGTCACTGGCAATTTCTTCCATGACATCAACAATTTCATTCATTACTTTAAATCCCTCCAGTGCAGACAAGAAGTCGGCAATTTTCTTTTTGCTGTACTTGACTTCTTCATAAAAGATGGCTCTGCTGTCAGGATGGTTCTGACTTTTCAGCGGTGATCCAATACTGTGAATTTTGCTGAGCAGCCTTTCAAGGTCAGGAAGTTTCTTCAGGTGCTCACTAACTTCAGACATTTTATCTGGCACTGCCACAAGGTCCTCGATGGCATCCAGGCGATCGTTGATGGACTGGGGGTTGCAAAGCGGGGCGCAGAGCCACTGCTTCAGGAGTCGCTTCCCGAATGGCGTGCAACACGAATCGATCCTTTCCAGCAAAGTACCCTCTGTGGTTCCGTTGGTGCCGTTCTGCAGGACCTCCAGGTTCATCAGGGTGACGCCGTCCAGCACCATCCGCTGGCCAGTTTTGGCAAAGGAACTACCTGAACTCATAGTTTTTGCAGTATCCACATCCACAGGGACATACTCCTCGAAGTTTGCCAGCGATAATAGCTCCTGATCGATCAGACATTTTTGGAGATAGAAGACACAGCCCCCAAGAGCTGACAAAGCTAATTCACTGTTTTCTCCAGGAGTTAATCCCAGTGAGTCACTCTCTGAAGTCAGAGACTTGATTACAGAGGGCAGAGAACATCCATTTTCAGAGTTCTGTTTCTCCTTGAAATATCCTTCTTCAAGGAGAACTTTTAGTGTTTTAGATGCATTCCAGAACTGAGAACCTGCGACCAGCCCTTCTTGAAAGCAAGCAACAAGTGAGCCCTTCAGTATCTTCTGTGTCTCCACAGACAGGTTTCCCTTCTCAAACAGCACCTGTACAGGAGTGTAATGTGCTACCAAAGTCCTGAACCTCGAACAGTGCCGGTCATCTGAGAACTGGCCCACATAAAACTTCCCCACCGACGTGTCAACAAAGCAGACCCCGTAAACTCGTTGTCCAGAGGAGTCTTCTTTTTCCTTAACGCACAGGAGGTATTTGTGGTGGTTCTCAGAGGGGTCACAATCCATAATGCTGTAAGTCTGAGTTCCCTTGGTGATGATTCTGCATAGTTCCCGGCGTACCACCCTGTCAAATTTTGTTGGGTGGGTCATTGACTTGCAGCGTGCTTCCATCATTTCGGGAGTTTCTGTCTGCTCCACACGTGCCACCTTGTAGCCTTTCTGCACCAGAACATCAGAGAATCTGCCAAAAGCAGTTTCTGGAAAACCTGAGTGGGCCCAAGTACCTTTCATGAAGATCAGGCCCAACTCATTCACGCCAGTGACCGCATCCATGTGATACAACTCATAGAATTTTCCGACTTTGTAGAAAATCACAGCATCAAAGTTTTGACTCTTCAGCTGCCACCACCTCCGCATCCCTGGCGTACACTTGTTGAGATAGTCCTCGGGCACGTACAGAGTACGTGGGTCGTAGTCGGGGTCACTCTGCCGCCTCCTGCGCCCGTCTTTCTTCTTCCCTTCTTGCAGCCAGTCGAGCTTCTCGTGCTCCCATGCCGCAAAGCCACCGACGCCTCCGCTGCAAGTGTTTGCCTGAGATTCAAAACTTTCAGGTGCTGCAAATGATGTCAGCTTCGACTTGGCTTCTAAAGAAACCGTCGCTGCTCTTTTGGGCATTTCAGAACATTCCTTTCCTAAGCTACTCCTTTTAGCAGGCTTGTTTATCTCCTGCCTCTTTCGTTTAGAAGGGATTTTTATGGGACTCTCTGCAACACTTTCTGCATCTGTCTCTGTGTCAGTAGATTCATTTTCATCCACCCCACTACTCGCTTCCTCACTGCTTGCTGCTTCTTTCACATCAGGCTTGAACTCTGCATCAGAGCCATCATGATCACTGTCAGAGTCCACCACTCTTCTTCTTTTGCTTTTTACGGCACTTTCCCTCCTCTTTACTCGCTTATTACTCTTCACATCCTCATCACTATGGCAGTCATCGCTGTTGCCTGAGGCGCTTTCACTCATCTGCTGGAAAAATAAATCATTTTATCTAAAGAAAATCCTGGCTAAAGTACTGCTACTGAAAAAGAAGCACAAAAAAATGCAATAAGGCAGTAGCCATGATACTTGTAGCAAGAGGCAGTAGAGCCACACCCAATTCTGTCTACCTGGACAGAGTTATTTTTTTTCTGGATAACACTTCTACCAGCCAGTGGCCTAATTACTCCTCTTTGTACTCTTTACAGCCTCATTCATTACTCTGCATAAGGGATGCTGATGGAAAAATCACTTAAACTGGACAAAAGGCATATGGTATATGAAATTCAGCACAAAGGAGAAATGCCTCCATAACTCTGTGCTGTCATTTCTTCCTACTGACCTATGTCAGAAATGGGATTGGATTTTGCAGCCTTTCAGTACGAGCCTATGATGTGAGTTTTGCCCCTGATTTATTTTTTTTTATACTTCCTATTTTGACCTACAAACATGCTACCTTATAGTAACCTTCAAGATCAGTGTCTAGAAGAAAGAAAAGAAACTCCATTATCTGCCTTTTCAGCCTAGAGGCTTTAAGAATGCCAGTGCCAGTGCTGGAGAATACCAGCAGGGGAGGGACTGTAGCAAGTACAAAGTGCCAGTGCCTGCTGCACTGTCGCCTCAAACATAACACAATGCTTGGAGTGGCACCTGTCCATCTGGAGGAAGAACAGATGGGCAAACACTGACAGAGAAGGGAAACCACTATCCCATTGGCAATTTCCTCACGTTATTCCTCTTCAAAGAAATCTATTCCAATAGATATGAATCGCTCACGGTGTGAATACAAACCAATAAAATATCTCTTTTTCTAGTTACCCCACCAACAGACTTGTGTTACCAGTAGAAAAATTTGTATTTTAGTGCCACTTTAAAAGGTAAGGCCAAGCTTGAAAAATCCAGTTTGACACCTTAAGAAAAATACTCAGAAAGTTACAAATTTCTACGTTACGTCAAATTAAAACTTCAGATCAAACTTAGGGGAACTTAGAATAGGAACAGGAGAGAAGATAAAAAGATGTACCAGAAAACAAACAAAGTACTTTATGAGTGAGAAAGTCGGCCACCTGGGTTACCCAGGATGAGATCAATGAAGACAGAGAAGTTAAGTAACTGCTGAGGTCAGTCCTTACCATACAGAACACCGAAGAGGTACTAGGCTTGTTTTTCCAACTAGAAAAGGTGAGAGATCAGCACATGACGTGACCACACAGGAGCAGTACAGAAGACATACATATATGTATGCGTGCATGGTTAAAGAGCAAGTAAGCTTGGATTACTGTACCAGAGAATTGCAGGACATTCCACGCTTAGTTCCAAGACACAGCTTCTAAATTCTACCACTATTTCTGACAATTTCTGGCAAGACAAATTTTACCTCCACTTCCTCCTCCTCCTCCTCCTCTGTGTCTGAAGGCTCGCTGCACACCGCCAGCTCCAGCCGCTGAGCCGTGTCTTTACGCATTGCGTCGTCCGCCAGCGCCATCGCCCTTTTAATTTCAGGCTTTGGACTATAAAACATACCTCCCTTCCGTGCCTCCCCATCCGAGGAGCCTGTAAAATCACAAAGAACTTGTCAGAAACTGAAGTTAGCCCAGCATTTAGGCAGTCCTTTAGTTAGTGTTCCTACCTCAGATTTAATTACATTAGTTCTCTGAACACTTTTATCTAACATACCGTGTTGTTACCAATCATTCCCACAGCTTATACATAGCAGCCTCATGCAGCCTGATAAAATACCCCTAGAAAAAGTCCAAACACTCACAGATTAAGTGCCTGCCTAGCTCATGAGCGCTTGAAGAATTGGTTCTGTTTCTGTAACTCATCGCCACATCTGAACATTTCTAAGGTAAGCTTTAAGTACCCTCACACCAAGTGTAGTTACTCCTGAAACACAACGCTTCCTATGAGCAGTGCAGCAGACCTGAGACCACACTGCTACATCAGCAATGAGAGGCAAGTTCAGCTATAAAGTTATCGTCAGGTTTTGGGCATCAGGGCTACAGCTCTGCTGGCCGCTCAAGCCGCGCTGTAGGCGCAGGCATCCAGACCCAGCACTAGCCTATTAGCCAGATTAGCTGGCCATCAGTCACCCCGACGCTGCAGGGCATCAAGCAAAGCCTGCTATTTATAACTCCACCAACCCTCAAGCACCATGGCTCCTCCTTCCACTTCCTGTACATGAACACAAAACAAAGCCAACCAACCTACAGACCGACTTCTAGAAAGGGTCCTGAAAGATGCTGAGATTCATCTTAATGCCACGCTCAAGAAACAAATGCTATGTTACGCCATTTACCATACTGTAGATTCAACCTGGGGAAAGAAAGAAAGGGGACAGAAAAGCACACTATAGGTAGGGGAGGGCAATTCCTTCTGCTCTTAGAAGTTTAGCTGGCTGCAAATGATAGTAGGATCTGCTGGAGTAGGTCCTTACACTCACTCTTGTGAATCCTGTCCTGGTCCGAGTTCAAACAGAACTCCTGGGACTCCCCCAGGGCTGCTTCACAGACTCAGTGGTGCTGGTGATATCATTGTCACCAGGGGGGTTGGGTTCCATATTTGGTTTGTATCTATTTGTATATATTCCATTTTTTAATTATTTTTATTTTCATTAAAGCAGTCTTCTAATCCATAAGCCTCTCTCCCTTATTCCCCTTCACTTCCCCTTTGGGATGGTTAACAGAGAGGGTCTGCTATAGCTCTGGAGGCAGCCCTGACCCTAAACTGTGACAAATCCCTTCATATGCTGCTATTAAGTGAAGCTTCAGCTCTAACTCAAAAGTAGACAAAAAAATGCAGCTGACTTGCAGGATGTCAACTACCTCAGAAAGCAGCCACACAGAACTCTCTCACATTCATTTCTTTAAGCTTGCAGTAGCAAAGCACAGAGCTACAAGTAGCTGCTTCTACAGCACAAATGCAACACACTAACAAACCAGACCTCCATTTTAGTTATGCAAACACAGCAAGGCAATTTAAGAGTATTTTGTGTTTCATACCAATGGTTTAACAAAAGGAAAAACTTCATCCCACGATTTCACTGCACTCCATTGTGCAGCACCAGCATATTCACATAACCTGCTTGTAGATAACTCCAGCCCTTGCAACCCCCACCTGCTCAAGTCCAGCCTTCTGCTGTCAGCTTTTTTCAGTTACAAACAGTAACACATTTAAGAAACTTCTCCATTTTCTCACCCAAAGACTCCATGCTCTTACTCTCCATACAAAGATTTTTTTTTTGTCTGAATTTAAAAGCAAAGCATGTATTTTAAATATTTTTACTCTCTTCTGCACTAACCACATTTCTTTGTAGACAGGCCAGTGTTTCTGTGCTTGAGTATTTTGAACACTTCTTACAGCAGTATGATGGACAAAGGACAGTTTATGGCCAATGATTTAGTTTTCAACAATAGTAAAATGATAAAATAAGGGGAAAAGAGATCATAATTATTAGTAAGGTGAGACTTACCATGTAAAATGTTGGTTTACTCATGATTACATTTTATTTTCTTTAGTTAGCTAAGCCACTTCAAGACAACAAACACCAATTCTACTCTGTAACTACAAGCACTATGCTAACACTCTGATTTCTAAAGTTACATGTTTTATTAACAAAATTGTACTGCCTTGCTTAAAAGAAGTTACCACCACAGTAGAATTTTAGTTACCTACCATCCTGTGCCTAGTCTTGATTCTGGACAAACCGCAATTCCCAAACAGCTGCTTAAAAACTTGGTTTGACATTCCTAATATTTCAATTATTTCAGTGTTAAAAATTGAAATAGTTGCTTTATCTTTAAGATTTTTTTTTTAATACTGATAGGAGAAATAAAGGAAAAAGCTTTTAAACATAAGCAGACATTGTTTTGTGTTCTAATCTTGAAAACAAGAGGGCTTAGTGTTTTGGAACTACTTTGCTATGTTTAAAGAACCATAAATGCACTTGTAACCCTCCAAAACTTGCCTTCTCTAATTCACAAAGTACAAAATATGCTTTCCCTCTCAATACTAATCTTGGTTTTGCTGCTCTTTCTCTACAGAGAGCACCATACCCCATGCCTATTTTTCCAAAACAAGTGGTATATTTCTATTTCAAAGAGGTTTATTTACATCTCTTACCTTTATACGGTCTCAGATATTTCACGCTGATCCAGCCCCTGGCAGGGCTGTCATCAAAAAACTGTACGTGGACACGAGCGGATTTCCCTTTTCCTCTGACTATCGTTCTTTCCGTCGGGTGGTTGTATATGAGACACGGCCACCAAGGATAACCTTCCATCTTGGCCCATACCAAGTCACCTGGGGCATACTCACAGGAGACACTGCAAATACAACAGAAGCATAATCTATGGAACACAAACATTTCAAACAGCTTCTCTTCACAAATGCAACTGCACAATGCTTCTGAGCAGCCTGCCTTCTGAAGGTGCTGTAAGGCTCCTAGGTGGCACAACACAGATTACAGAATCCTTCTAGAACGCCCCCAGTACTTCTCTTAGATGATTTTTTGGATTTACTCCTGCTAGTTCTACTAGAAGCCCAGAGAGAGAGAGCTTTGTGGTCATAGAAGATTGTGTAGTCATATGCAGTCAGAAAAGGTGGGAAGTGACATCTGGAGGGCATCTCATACAAGTCCCCTGCTCAAGCAGGGCCATCTAGAGCCATATATAACCAGATTCTCAGTAGATTTCTCACGGGAGAGGGAAAAAGTAACTCAGTCCAACCAGACATTAACTAAACGAAAAAGACTGCAGACCACATATTACGATTTGTCAAACCGTGTAACTTCAGACAAGTTCTCCTGCAGAGACTAGTTCTCAAATGGGCACCTGATAGAAAGGAAGCCCTCGAACTACAGAAAAATAAACCAATAAATTAAAAATTTGTCTCCATTGCAAAGCACTTGATGCAGCTTTTATTTGCTCCCTCCTTCTCCCGAGATTCCAAGTCTGGCACTGCCAACCTGGGATCACGTGTTGGGGTTCACCCCCACGCCCCCCACCCCGAGGTGCCGCCCGGGGCCTGCCCGGGCCCAGCAGCACGGCC